CTATCAGACGAGAAGGATACACCAGAGATTAGCTAATGTGGTTTATTGACTCTTATCACATTCTGTTTGTTGTATGATGACTGTGTAGCTGTCTCTAGTGATTAGCGTCCATTATCTGTTGCCATGTACTCGTCTGACAGGAAAAACTCACTTAAAGGGACTTCATTTGTGCCTTGAGCTATCTGTTGGCTCCACATGCTGTTTTGCTGTGGGAGCATTTTGGCGATGTGGTTCGTTTTCTTGTTCAAGCTCAATCTCTCAAGAGTTTGTCATTTTTTATTCTATGAGTTTTGTCAGAAGTGCTCCAGGATCACCACCAGACCGACTCCACACTGACTACACAATGACCGCTTCTTGTCCATTCTTTTAAACTTGCCTTAAGTTATAAGTTGGGGCGCTTCAGAAGTGGTACATAATGTAAACAATACAACGTAACAATAGGCTCATGCTACAGAAGGACCCCAAAGTTTGGGTGCAGTATGAAATGGGTATCTGAATCCTTGCCTGATGCTTAGCCTGAGACATTTTCTACACAGTTGACTTTCTCTGCCCAGGTGTAGTAAATGGTTTCCGGTAGGATTTATTCATTGTATTAACTACATGTATGTGCCACAGCAGATGCATTTTGGAGGTGAGATACAAATAAAATCTTTTGTTTAACATTTTTCTCTCATGAAGTTTGATAATTCTGTTAAAACTTACCTGAAATACATAGAATCCCTGCAGGAATAGTAATCAGCAGACCATCACAATGTAGGCTATTTAAACATTTTAAAAACTTATTCATGACAAAGAAGACCTATCAAATGGCAGGGTCAATAGATCAGAAAATTTTGGACATTTTGGAGGCGAGATACAAGTAAGAATATTTGTTTAACATTTTTCTTTCGTGACGATTGATGGTTCTGTTAAAAGTTGCCTGAAATACATAAAATACCTGCAGGAAAAGCAATCAGCAGACCAACACAATGTAGGTTATTCAAACAGTTTAACTTTTTCATGACAAAGAAGACCTATCAAATGGCAGGGTCACTAGATCAGAACATTTTGGACATTTTGGAGGCGAGATACAAATAAGAATCTTTGTTTAACATTTTTCTTGAGTGACGATTGATTCTGTTCAAAGTTACCTGAAGTAGGTTATTCAAATAGTCTAACTTTTTCATGACAACAGAGACTTATCGAATGACAGGGTTGAAAGATTGGAAAATAGATTTGATCATGTGTAAAAGACATTTATATAAAACATTTAGTATTGCTAGCTATTCTAACATTTGAACTTACAACGCTGTAAATCCATTTCGGGCAATTTATTTTGCTGTTTTGTTATATCAAGAAATGTCCTTGCCCTGGACTAGGACTAACATGTATTCTTACAAATACATGTAGATGTTTCACTTCAGCATGTGCAATTACAATTGTTGTGCAATTATACCCTTTGAACAAGAAAATACCACTGTTGAAGTATATTGTAGGGACTAACAGTAGATTATTCAAATTTTGATATTTAAGAGTAGTAATTTAAAATGTATAATTAGATATAAGATACTAAGTTGTTGTTGAATTCTATCCTATTTAAAAATTGCTGGCTTTGTTATTCAGTTGTAATTGTAGGGTAGGCAATTTAATTACGTGGGATATTTCCAGGAACTTTCATTTTCATTCTGCTTCTATCCTGTATCTCAAATTTCATTTCCGTACAATACATTCTCAGAGATGCGTGTTCATGCTATGCTTTTGTGCGGAACTACACTGTAAGCTTTCAAGGAAATATATATATAACGCAACGGAAAAACAGGCATTGTAGACATGGACGCTCACGTTGAAAGACCCTTTTTTAAGGTCCATCTAGATTAGATTATTGCCAATCTATGATTTGATTAGCAGGTAGATGGCAAGCATTGATTAAGAAATCGGTCGGTATTGTCAGCTCACGCTAATGTAGGTTGGGCACAATTTGATACAGTCATGTCTTATTTCACTGCAGCCTATTTACGTCCTGCTCTAGAACAATAGAATAGATCTACATCTGTGAACATGCATGCTGCGAAATTAGTTTTCCTGTCTGTTTGTGGAGCTAAGAATAGCTTTACATATATACCGGTATATATATATATATATATGTTCATCTCACTGATTGTGTAGGCGTGGGATGCACACTCTGCCTGCCACTCTCTGTGATTATCTGCCGAGAGCCTAGAGGGCGTTAACTCTAACTTGAAGCATATCAAGAGTTAACACCCTTTAAGCACCCAGACGATAACGTTTGTGAAACTAAGAATAGATAGCTTTACAAATGTATATATATTCATCTCACTGATTGTGTAAGCGTAGGATGCACACTCTGCCTTCCACTTGGTGTAATTATTTGCGCAGAGCCAGAAGGGCGTTAACTCTGACTTGAAGCACAGCAAGAGTTAACACCCTTTAAGCACTCAGACGATAACGTAGGCGAACTGATTGGGTAGGAGGTGACGAAGCATATTAAAAGCAATCGGCGCTCTGAGAGTCATTCATTAAAGTTTCTTTGTTGTAGTATTTGATGGACACTTCTTTCATGACGATACTTTCTATCCATGGCATATTCATTCAAGGTTCAATAAGTATCACATTTCTGTATTAAACAAATTTACTCACAGCCAATCAAATGCAACGATTTCAGTAGGTCATAACAATTATTGCAACTTGTACATGTAATATTGATAACAAGTTTCATGTAACAGGGCCCTGATTTATTTTTTATCAACTATCATACAGTTTCACTAATTTTAGAATATTTTTGCAAAACAAGTTGGCACTTTATCACAAATGTAATGCAGATTTGATATTCAACGTTGATACTACATGAATCATGTGACTGACCTTGAGAAAAGAAAATGAAACCCAAGAAAATCATTGGAAGTTCCCCTTTCCTTCTCATGAGAGCACCTAGATGTATAATTTAGATGAGAGTAAAAATTTTGTACCAAAATTAAATTCCCCATTTGTATTTTGTATACGCCCCCTCCCACAGAGTCCCACTCATTGGATTGAGAGTAGTTCTTCTGAAAAGCAAACTGGAATTGAAATATTGTCATTTCCCCAAGCAAATATACTTTTGGAAATCGCATGGCATTTAGAAACTGAGAGTAAATCACACACAGTCCTAGGTATTGAATTGAAGCAGTCAATAGCAGGACTGGATTAATAATAAACAGAACCATTGCTGATGGATACTTTGTATGAACCTTGATTGGCGCATTCGCACAAGTGTTTTTTTAAAATACAAAATCCATATGAAGAATCGTCTTTTGAAGCATCACTGTGTTGCAAAGGGTGCATAATGATTTAGTAAAAACAGAGGTTGTATGAAGTAAAGAAACTAGTTGTTAGGTTGTTTTGTCAAGTTTTCATTTGACACAAAACCTCTATTTCTCTGTATTACAATCATTACAAAAGTTCAGACTAGAACAAAATTGTTATATGTATATAATACAGTTTTTTGTATTGCTATACAATAACTTTTGCTAGTGTGAATGACAGGTTATATACATACATTTATACATGAGTATGTCTTATTGTTCAACATGTGTAAAAACATAGCAATGTCATGAAATATGTAGCCTTTCAATTATCTACCTGTACATGCTATTCATTATGTGCCTTCATTTGGAAAGGCAAGTGTCCTTTTACATGCTGTGCATCGAGACAAAAGAGTTTTATTATTTTTAGAATAGTTTGGCATTGTGGAGAAGGTTTTAGCCTACTGGTATATCTTATTTGAGGGAAAACATCTCAAGTTGCAGGAATATTTTGGATGGCTTCTTCATGTTTGCTCATTATGTGCACTCTTGCAATAAAGATATTTGTAGGCTTCAAGAAGTTAATGTACACTGTACAATGTACAGTGGAACTGTTTGCCTAAATTTTAAGTATAGTTGTTGTTGTTGTTATTATATATTATTAGGTGGTTTGTCATCGACAGATCATTTATTATTATTATCATTATTATAATATTTATTATTATTACTGTTATTATGATTATGATTATTATTATTATTATCATTATTATTGGTATTATTATTGTTTTTAAAAAAAAATCAGGTTTAGAAACATATGGTATAACTTTGATTTTGCTTGATTTGATTGTTATTTGGCAAGTATATGACACTACATATCAAAGTATAATATGAGAAGGAGATTAAGAGCAATCAATAAACAACATATAAATAAAAAATCATTAATAGATATGGAATATCATCATTGATAATAGTAAAATATCCATACATTATGCAAATGCAATTTTGCCATATCATTAAATTGATATAAATTGAATATCATTGTTGATATCATATATCTATATTATGCAAATGCAATTTTGTAATTGAAACCACACAATGTGGGCCTACATGTAAATGTACATTATACCCCCCCCCCCCCCCCCCGCCATATTTTGTCTGAGTTATAGTGCGTGCGTGCGGAAGCTTTTGATGAAATGTGAACTATTTCAGGCAAGCCTTTTGTTTGCATTGCATGTATGCACATGTGTGTAGTGTACAAGCTGAAGTGTTTGTTCAGGCCTAGTTACTGAACATTCCAACAAGTGTCTTGTTCAAAGCATCACCATTGTTATTGTAATGTAATAGACTGGATTACTACCATATTTAAATTTATGGATGTTTGTTCCTTTCCTGGGGACCTAGTGAAGAGCTATTCCATTAACCTGTTTTTGATGAATGGACTACAATACTTGGAATCCAGTCTGCATATATTACATGTTGCTATGTCGTGCAAGGTCGGGCAAGCTTTCAGGTTGTCGAGAACAACCTTTGTTAAAAAAGTATGCATAAAATTTGCATATGTAATTTTAAACATACATGTACAATGACACTTGCCCAAGCATGTACATTCCACCAGTCATTGTACATTTCTTCAGATATTTTCTCTTGCAATGCAATGAACCTTGTGCAATTGTATACAGGAGGATTGTAACTGTGCTTCATACCATACATGTACACAATGTATGTGTACAACTACAAGCATTGCAATTTTCTCAGAATATGCAGTACTGAATGCAATATCAGTATTTACATGTAGTGCCAGTATCACAGGAACTGACATGTACATCAAATGAAAGAGCATAATAAGAAGGAAGTTCATTTTCAAATATGTGAGTATTTACATTTACGCTCCATCGGCATTGCGGTGTATATTTGTGAAGTGAACTGCACCTTTTTTACCTTCTCTTGCGTAAGTCTTGACATGTGCAAGACAGTTTGCAGCCGGCATGTACGTAATTAATGCCATCTGTTATGGAGTCACGCTAGAAATTTGCATCATGCCGACGTTATTGATTTTATAAACCATCATTATATTCACTTCATCAGCTTTTCTGCTATGCTTGTTTGCATATAACGCAATTTTTTAGGGTCCAATGGTTTTCTTTCAGTTTTAAGTTCTATTATACATATATGCACCGCCATTAATTCATTATTAAAGAGGATAATTGGTTGCTTTTTAGTCATACATAAACTATTCAAGGAAATAATATTTTTATAGAAGGTTTGAAACTTTGAATTATTAGGTGCAATAATTGTTATGATCACTAAAACTAAAACATTCTGAAACAGAAACACATGTGAGTCATTCAAATATTTTCATCTTGTGGAACATCAGGATGAAAGTTGCGGGGGTCCTTGTAATCTGAGAATGAATAGATTCATTGCATTTTTTTACTTTTTAGTGACTTTCTTGTGTCGTCATCTGTGATTACTTACTGATTGTGCAGTTGTAGATTTCATAATAAATGTTTAGCTATTATTACTCATGCTGAATTTTTGCCATATTTCATCGCTTCTCTTGTTATACATCTTTTAGGCTCTGTAATCTTCCACTTCATTTGATGCATTTTTGGTTGCCATGGACAACTACTTATATCAAGCCCTAGATAATGTTGCTTTCAACCATTTTCAGTATGCCTATCTTTCTTTGTATGTCAACCATTTTTATACAGACATTGGAAATATGCGAATCTTAAGAAATCAGATGAAAGCCCTAGCAATAAAGGTCTCAATACTTATTTTTCACTGTAAGAAGAAAGATCGATTGAACTGGAGTTATATATATTGATCTGTGATGTTTGAAAATATTTTATTGATGCTGGATGAATTTCTTTGCAATTAAGAAAATGGCTGCAAACTAATACCTTTTTCCAGCTTTCTACGTCAGTGTGGAAAGCAACAATTTATGATACATTTTACGTACCGGTAGGCCTACTTACAATGTACATAGCTGCAAACCATTCTTATTTTGGAGGAATAATTCCTATTTTGGAGGAATAATTCCTATTTTGGGCCTTCAAGCTATTGTTTTGAACCCTAGAGTCCTCTCTTTTTCTGAAATATTATATGTTAAAAGCATTCAAAAAAAGACTGTAGTCCTAATTTTGCCTTGGGAGATTCCTAATTTTTGCTGTGAAAGGTTGGCAGGTACTGTATGAATGTATACTCCAATCGATTGAAAATTGGAAAGCTGTTCATTGCACTCCATGATTATTCTATTCAAGAGATGGTCAATGCTAGCTAAGCTGAAGGTCGAGTTGAAGGTGAAGTTGATTAGAAGATTGAACAGAATCAGAGAACAGTTTAATTAAGGCGCAGGTTTGAGTATACAATACGATACAGGACTCAGTTCTTTGTATTGAGCAGTGTGCAGATATGATACGTGTACGTAACTACCCGTAGGTGATATTTGTCTGTGTATCCACACAAAGCTTGCAATGGATGAAGTAATTGAAGTTGTTTCTGTTATATTTGCGAGGTCATAACAGTTTTTAAGTTTTATGCATATACAGTAAACAAATAAGTTATTCATATCCCTTGTAAATTTGATGTTTTTTGTGTGTTTAAAATATCAAGAATAAAGGTGGACTTGATGAGTTATGGACTTTTTTAAATGCTTTAAGATGTAATCTTTGTAAATTCTCAAGAAACTTAGAACCAATCAGGACTAATCAATGTTTCACATACTTAAAAACTTGTAAAACTTGGTATGAATGATATGAATAATTGAGTTAACTTCCTCTTCTGTGTCTGTGCGTGATGATCTGAGATTGTACCAAATTATTGCCTGACATAGCAGTAATGCTATGGTCACAAAGATTCGTACAAACAATAATTTCGTGCAAATCTCCGTTTTTAAATTGTCTTCCCAAATTTCCATTGTCCGAAAATCGTTCGTACGGCCTTTGTAACAGTTCGTTATGGCATTTGTGACTGAGGCTTTAGACACCTGCAGTTTGCTCTCAGGATACATTTATACAATGTATGATCAGATGAACTGTGAAAAAAATATAAATATGCATACATCTGTGAACCGTTTGTCTTTAAGGACTTTAATATAATCTTGAATTAATATTCAATCATTTAAATTTCTTCGGCCTATCATCCAATTGGCGGCATAGATGATTTTAAGTTACATTTATTTATTCATTATTGGTATGTTTCTCTTGCTTTTAATAGGGGTTGACATTTGTAATCTTAGTTTTAAGATATATGAACTGCTGTGTCATGCAACCTTTATTTAAAGAGCTACAAAATGTAGCTATTAACCAACTGATGCCAGGGTATTAATAAGCAGCTGCTTAGTTGTCATATGCCTTTATGCACAAGCCATTGGGATTTCCCCAAAGTAATCAACATTTTACGGACGCACATTGCAAATATTCTAGGAGTCATGAGACTGTTCATGAAATGAATGAAATGGAATGAAAATTCCAGACAGTCTGGGGAAAAGTGGTGAGTTGTAAAACTACAATAAAGCTTTGGGCAGGCACTTCTAATTAGCTTGTTGAGAAGGACTTTTAATAAATTAGTAGATGTTAGAATTTAATTTTATCCCTGACAACTCTTTCCAATATTACACATGTAGCAAGTTACAAGTCATTGTATTTTGATAAAAATAATAATAATAATGATAATAATGAATTTTTTCTTTGGTTTTGAACGAATGCATTATTACCGTTCAATGCTAAAGTGAAGCCTTCATGTTTTTTAATTTTTGTTGACGTCATGCCTAAAAACTAAGTAACGTGGTTAAAAATGACAGCACTTAAGTATTAGACTTATGGATTTTCCAAAAAGTAATCAACATTTTATGGACGCACGTAACAAATATTCTAGTAGTCAAGAGGCTGGAAATTTCCAATTGAGATATTCCTATCCTTGTGAAAATTTCATTCTATGGCATAGTCACTGCTGTACGGATAATGACTAATTTACACATTGATGTATTAATTCGATGTGAAAACAGAAGTCAATTGATTAGATAGTAGCTGTGGAACTGCACTAATGACAATGTAGAAGCTGGAAATATCCAATTTAGACATTCCCTTCCTTGTGAGAATTTCAATCTATGGTATATTCACCGCTGTTTGGATAATGACTAATTTATTAAAGCTTTGACCCGTAAGCCTGTTTCATGCATAATGAATGATTGAATTGCATTTATACCTGCAGATGGTTTGACTGAAAGCAATCCATCACCTCGGGAAAGGAGACAGTGGTAAAAGGATGACTATTTTATTTGAACGTTAAGTTAACTCTGCATATTAAAGGTTACGAAATGTAATGGCACGAGAAAATGTGTCCTGAATGCAAATGAAGTAATAGTTAGTGATATTTGCTCATTAGAAGTTCTTTGTAAACATATCTGAAATGAAGTTGAGGTAACATTAATTCTGATTGAGATAGTACATGTATTTACCAGCTCTATATCTGGATATTTTTTTTTTTTTTTTGAATGATTCGACAAAGGAAAAATTTGACTTGTGCAATTTCCAGTTATGCAGAGTTGACTGTAAATAATGCAAATTTATTTATTAGATTCATACCCCTTTTCCAGTGCGTCACTGAATGGAATACTTGAATTAAAGGTAAAGGCCAGTTATGGTCATGCGATTGCATTGTGAAAGAAACGTGGAATCGATCAGAAAAGGTTGATCATGTAGCATCTAGCATCTGCAAGGTTCTGGAATCATCAAAATGATAAGAAATTTGGCCCATTTTTCGTAAAGTTACAAGCACTATACACAGAAAGATGTATATGGGACTACCCTATATCTCTCACAGACCATGAGAGAAACAAATTTACCAAATATTTGTATTAAGCGCTATATAAATTAAATTTATTATTATTATTATTATTAGTAGGCGGTTTCCCGGCAAATTTTTTATCATCATGTATTAGTCAAAAGTCAAAACATATTCTTTCACATGATTGGTAATGAGAGCTTCCATTTCATTTTTTGAAATTGGGGCGTTCCCAATACTGGTCTTTACCTTTAAGATTAGCATTAAATTGGCTATACAGCAAAAACAAATTCCTTATTCAGGCTTATACCAATTGACATTTTTGTGGTTTTATTTGAGATACCACTAGATGGACTCAATTTACTTGAGACTTGAAACTTTCACAAATAGTTATTTTTGCGAAAAAGAAATTTTCAGTTATGTCAACAATTTTGTGCTGTGATAAATGTGATCTTAGTCATGCACTTAACAGCATGAAATTTTCTGCAACTTTAAGTGTGCGCAAATTTTCACAAACTTCAGAGGTGAATCTAAAGTACCTGTGAAGTTTGTGAAATTTTTGAGGACGCAAAGTTTTGGTGTTTTCTGTTTTCTTTTCATCTGTTTATATCTTAGAGCCAGAATGATGTTAAAGATATGTACCCTTTACTCAGAGAAACACAATTCTGGCTTGCCATAGATGTTTTCTTCTTTCTCCTTGTGCACATCATCCCCCCCCCCCTCCATTATGACATTTTTTTGGTCTGCATATATACCATGAAGGACAGAAAAAGTAATAATAGTGTATCTGTAATGAGACCTAAATACATGTACAATGATGTACATCCGATTCATACAGCATACCACCCTAATCTCTCTGACATAATAACAAAACACGTACCAGCAACATCATTTCCCCTCGCATTGTGAAATTCTTGCGGAATATATCTAGTTATCTACGCACTTCCTATTCTCTCTTTTCCTGTATGTAACACGAGCCTGTACGGCATGGTGTCGCAGGCATAGTGCATGCAAAGCCTCATTTTTGGCCTTTTATCAATATTGATATCCTGGCAGTGGTATGCCGAAACTTCTGAAGTTT